AAATAGAAAGAGAGATCAGGTGATAGACATGTAAGATCCTCTAATAAGAACATGTTGTGAAAAGCAGACTTTCTCTCTAGATTGAATACAAACACTACCTTTCTAAAAAGATTCGATCTTACATCATTCCACACATTTCCCACCAAATCTAAGAAGGGTCCAAATATTTTGATTTTTATCTATCATTCATCGTTGTCAGAAGGAGGAATCATCCATCTCATTCAATAGTGGGTTAAACATTCTCCCTATTACTGTATTGCCATATTCTCATTTATTGCTTTATATTTCTTTCGCATTAATAGTCTTGAAAGATGAAATATTCCTTACAATTAATCTTCTGCTAGTCCTGTCCTACGTTGTTGTAGACATGTAATTTTTGACCCTCCCCATTACATATTTTAACATTTATATTTAGTTTAAGCCTAATATCATTATTTCAACTAGTTTGGACTCTTTTACTTTATTTTGTCACAAAAAAGAAGATTATAAAATATATTTTCTTTTATTTAGGTAATTGATATTTTATCTTATTACTTTTAGTTTACCTACCTTTCATAAAATTCAATAATACAAAAATAGTTTCACTTTGTTTTCAGGAATATTATTTTAATTTTGCAATGATTTTAATCTAATTATCTTTTAGTATGATATTTGAAAAATACCAAAAATAAGTTTGTTTTAACGATTAGTTTTATTTTAATAGTTATTTTAGTTAAATAGGATTAATTAATAAATGAGTTAGTATTTTTAGTCTTGATCAAGGAGAAAGAGTCAGATTTGGGCTAAAATAACCCATTTTTAGGCCTATTTTCGGACCCTGAGCCCATAAATCCAAGCCCAATACACAATACCCACTAAACTAACCCTAGACCCTTCTAGACTCATTTTTTTAAAATAAAAAAAAACAAATCCTAATTCCCCCCCCCAAAAAAAAGAGCCCAACCATTTCCCTGATTACTTGAAGACCCTAAACCTAATTTTCTAACCTAGAGAAGAACACCCCTCCCAGTCGTTCCCTCTTCTTCATCTCACAACCTAGGAACCCTTCTTCTTCTTTAACCCTAGGCCTAACCTAGAAGAACCCCTGAAAATTGGTTGCTCACCCGGATGAGATGACCTTTTCCCTTCCTTCTTCTTAGATTAACACACACACACGACACAATCAATGAAGGGGAAAAAGATGAGAAATCTAAAAAAAAGTGGAAGCTAAAAGACCTAATCTTGAAAGAGACGCACAACACCCACCAAAATCGGCCTCTATCATCTCCCTCACTCTTCTCCATCTCTAAGCTGCGATCTCAATCTCAAAAACATAGAACCTAAGTGCCGTTGCCTTCTTCCAAAAACACCCAACCAGCCATGGCCAAAATGACCTCATTCCTCATTTTCCTCACCCGGTTTCATCGGTAACAGTCCGGTGACAGCCATGGTTGAACAACATCGACGAACCACCACTGTTTCACCATTTTCTGTCTAATGTTCTCACTTTGTTATCTCGTTCACAGATCTGAAGGGAAATAAATAAAAAGTTTTAATTCTTCTTAGTTTCAATTTGACTCCAAATTCAAAAATACACAAAAAATAAATAATCAAGTTTCCGCTCTGACTTTGGGTTCCAAAAACATGGAGATTAGTTGAGGGTCGTTGACTTCTCGTGAGGTTCAAGTTCGTTGGTTCCTAATCAATTTCTATTGCTGTCTTGCTCGTTTGCTACTGGATGCACAAATTCCGGCGCCGGATTTGCTTGTAATAGCTTCTGAACAAGGTTAATCGAGAGTTTAATTCAGGTTCATCTTTTCTCATTCTCTCTGTTGTCGGCAATGTTAATGTGATTGAAATATGGTGATGCCCTATTCTCTTGGTTACTGTGATTGTAGTCTCAGTTTACGTTTAAGGACAGATATTTGACATTCTGTTCTTGTCATTGGAAATTCGGTTTTGTTGAGTGATATGTTCGAACATGAGCAATTGGAAATTGAGTTGTTTAGGTTATAACTTCATTCACGGGTGATTGACTTAATTTCTATTTATCGATGCTCTGATTCATCGGCCTTTGCTAGTTTCTATGTGATGCTTGCGCCAATTCGTATCCCTGTCTCATCGCGAAATGCATTTTTAAGTCTAATATTCTCGAAACTGTACATCTGCTGCATCTGTGAGCAGTCCCTTTAAATATTTTGCTTGTTTCCCTGAGATTACACATAGGGTGAAATGATTCAGTTGATTTTTTCAAAAGCCTATGTCAATTGTTCTTAAAGTTAGTTTTGGCAATTACTCTTGGTGTTGAAAGTTGATAAGGATGTCTTCAGTGATCCATGTAGTGCGTGATACATTGTTCTATCCAGTTTTCTTCAGTTTTGTAATTTGAAACGAATCTACACCTTCTCATATTTGTTGAACTAGAACTTCTCTGTTGATTCCATGACTGCCCAGAATAATTCATTTTACTTGGACTTGTGAATTGTTTTCTTACATAGTCAGTTCGATCGCGAGTTTAGTAAATCGAATAGGGTGCATTTTGGAAAAGGGTGTGGCATTAATTAATTGGTATTGGACTGATGATCGCGTCTAATCTCGTGTTGCAAGCCATCAAAAGTTGTTCTTGTGCACATTTGATACTTTAAAAATGTGAAAAGTTTGGATTAGTTTACCCTCATCATGGTATAGATTTGGCTGTTAGAGATGAATTTGTTCATGTCTCTTCAATGCATTTTCCAGAAACCATGCAATTGTTGAATTTGTTCATGTCTCTTCACTGCATTTTCCAGAAACCATGCAATTGTTTTGACAAATTCATTGTAGAATTGATTATGTGTTGATTGTCTTTGTTCTGGTGAATTGACACGCGAAGAATGCGAGTTTTGGAATTAGAGGTTGTAATCTTGTTTGATATAACTGGGTATGTACGAGAAGGTTAATTTGAATTAAATGAGTTCATGTGGCAAAGTTACGGTAATTACTTTGTGAAAGTAAAGAGTTGATTCTTGATTTGTGTCTTTCTTGTTCATTTTTTTCTGTTCCTTATTTTATTTTCTTCTACTTGTTTTCTATGTGGGGTACTATATTTGTATATACATATAATTTGAATGAGTATTATGGTCTATGTAAAGTAAGTGATTGTGTACACGTTCGCGTGACATAATTACGATTTTCAAAATAAATCGAGGTATGCGTTCGCACAACCTCGGCCAACTTTCTTAATATTAATAAAGCTTTGTTAATTACGGGCACGTACGCGTGACATGATTCTTGACGCGCCAAACAAATGAGTACACGTACGCGTGACTCGCCTTTTTTTAATTAAAAGAGAAAATGCACATGGGTCCTAAAACACGTAGTTAACAATTTAGTTAAGCCAGGTATGATTAAAGAGACCGTGCTAAAACCGTAAAACCCGAGAATGCCTAACACCTTCTCCTAGGTTAACAAAATTCCTTACCCGGTCTTCTGTGTTGGCAGATCATAAATTGAGTCAATTTCCTCGATTTGGGATTTAAAATAAATCGGTGACTTGGGACATCATAAATTATTCCAGGTGGCAACTCTGAATCTAAATAAATAATTCCATTTCGATTATTGTCACTTTAGTTGGAAAAACTCCCTATCCCTTATCACCTTTTGGGAAAAAGGAGTTGTGACAGCTTTAGCGACTCTGCTGGGGACAAGAACCTAGAATTTCTGGTTCAGGGTTCAGAATTCAAGCTTGTTAATATGATCTATGCTTGGCTTTATTTATTGTTGATATTACTGTATTTTGTGGACCTAATGTGCTAATTGTCGTTTATTCACTGCTTTGATATTATTTGAACTGTATTAAATTGTCTTCTTACGCCTCCTTTTGAGTCTTCTAAAATATGGTGCACACGTATGCGTGACCCACTTTTTTATTAGAAGTCATACCAAATAAAACGAGTCTTGGGTCAGCAACAAGGCCGGGTAGACTTTCGTGCTCCCGGTACGTTGCCCCCACTTTGGGTCGAGCTGTCCGCTCGGGTAAGCCAGGTCTAGAACACAACCCTAGGTTTAAACCTAGAATAATATAGTCCCATGTTGAATTCCTAGTAGGAACGTTTATTTGCATCATGTGCATTTGGCTTTAGGGACTCAACACAGAGGTTGGGTCCGTCTAGGACAGGTGTACCCCAAAATAAAAGGCTATCCTGATGCATTTTATGTGCTACATATTTCATTCTTCAAGGGTAAAAATATTCATTTGGCGGACCAATGATGGTTTGGGGTAAATGAGAGAAGAGGGTGAAGTGTGAAAATAAAACAAAGTAGGGCTAATTATGTTTTTCTTTCATATTTTTTTAAGAAAAAAACCAACAAAAAATGAAAAAACCCAAAAAGATTTTGCACTTTCCCATCATTTTTCAAAAAAAAAAAAAAGAGAAAAAAACAAAAAATATGTTTTCTCCAAATCAATTTTTTTTTTAAAATTCTCGCCCTTATCCAATCTTCCCGAACTACGCATACCTGATTCTTATCTTTCGGGACAGGATACGTAGGCAGTCCACATAGGGTTTGGTCTTCTTAGTGACTCTTAGGTTATTGGCTTTGAGGGTCGTAGCCAAATCTTGCATCTCTAGCCACTTTTGGCCACATCGGCCGTTTTGCAAAATAGGGTTATTTTTGCAAAATGGTTTGTTTAATTGTGTCTAGAGAGTCTTCAATCCACAATTAGGTGTCTCTCTACTCTAAGGCCTGTCCTTGTCGAATTTGCATGTCTAGCAGCTTTTGGCTACATAGGCCGTTTTGCAAAAAATAACTATTTTCGCAAAAGTAGTTCAGTGACCCATGTCTTAGAGTCCTAAGTCCGCAACAAGGTGTTCCCTCAGTTTAAGGTCCATTATGTTGAATTTGCATGCTTAGCCATTTTTTGTCCGCATAGGCCATTTCTACAAAATGGATCATTTCTGCAAAGTAATTTTTTCCATGTCTTAGAAGTCACTTTTGTTGAGTTTGAACATCTAGCCACCTTTTGGCCACATAAGCCATTTTGCAAAAAATAGCCTCAATCATATCTTGCATGTGTCCGATAGGAAGTTTTATTGTCTCACATAGTGTTCTATGTCTTTAACTCTATTTCGTCTTATTTTTTTCATACAGTGTGGATCTACTTACCAGAGCTTGAGCATGACAGACGCCCAAGGACCCTCTTAGTCAGGACCATTGCATCCAAGAGTTGTGTCACGACCCTAAACCGGACCCGGTCGTGATAGCGCCTCTCGTGAAGACAAGGCCAGTCGACACAATTCCCAAATTCAGTTTTAACAGTTTAATAAGTCAATTTAAGTCATTTATAAGGATAAATCCCCAACAACTATAGATTTAGCGAAATAAAACAAGTGCGAAAATGAATACAGCCCGACATCGGGGTGTCACAAGTCACGAGCATCTACTAGGGTCTAAATACAATGGAAAAGTCTGAAATGTACTAAATACAGTCTAATGAAATAGAGAGGGAGAAAAGCAGTGCTGGAAACGCCGGCAACTACCTTGCTAAACTCCGATGACTCTGCCTCCGATCAACCAATACCCGCTATCAGGTTCAGAAATACCTGAATCTACACACAAGATGCAGGGAGTAAAGTGAATACTCCGACTCAGTGAGTAATAATCATAAATAAAGACTGAGTGATAGGAAATCACGAAAAATACATCAACATGCTGCATAGAGTAGTACAAAACCAGTAAGAAAGCAAAGAAACTGTGAAATCTCTTAAAGCACCTTAGCTCAGTTTAAACTTCTTTAAAAATGACTTTTTATCAGATAAGCAATTGAATGCAAATCAATTAGAATAGATAAGCACGGAAAATCGGCCTCTCGGGCACAAATACACAATTAAACAGGTAAATGACCGGCAAATAAGAAAGATAAACACATAAAGGTTCGCCCCTCGGGCACAATGTCAACAAATCCGTCCCTCGGGAAATATCTCATAACAATATCAGGCCCTCGGGCTATATCTCACATCACAATGGGTACCGCGCTCACTGGGGGTGTGCAAACTCCTAGAGGGGCCCCTTACGGCCCAAGTGCAATATCAAGCCATCTCATGGCATTATCACTAGGATCTCGGCCTCATATCAACAAGCCACCTCATGGCGTACATATCTCAGGCCCTCGGCCTCATAATCAAAATCAGTGTATCATCGTTGCGGCGTGCAGCCTGACCCAAAAGTATCCTCACAATACAGGCCCTCCGCCTTAATTAGTCAAAAATCACATAAGCCACTCGGGCAATAGTAAAACATGATGCTCAGCGCAAAATATTATTTGAAATATCTTTCAAGTGTTAAAGCAGAGTAAACATGGCTGAGTTTTAAAAACAGTAGAATATAGCATGACTGAGTACAAGTTTAAAGTCAAAATAGTGAGGAAATATCAATAAAAATCCCCGAAGGGTTCAAATAGTTGGCACGAGGCCCAAATATGACATTCAGCCCAAAACATGATGATAACAAATAGTTTTCAGTCAAATACGCAATAGAACAGTCATTCGGGATGTACTAAGTCACAATCCCCAACAGTGCACGACCCCATGCTCGTCATCTAGCGTGTGCGTCACCTCAATATAGCACAACAATGTGCCATCCGGGGTTTTATACCCTCAGAACGTCATTTACAATAATTACTCACCTCGATCCGGTCCAAACTCTAGCCCTGGATGCCTTTTCTCAAATGAATCGACCTCTGGATGCTCTAAATCAAGCCACAATCAGTACATAATCATTAAAATATGATAAGGGAACAAAGCCCACTCGAAAATATCTAATTTACATCAAAAATCTCGAAATTGTTCAAACACAGCCCCCGAGCCCACATTTCAAAATCCGATAAGAGTTACATCAATAGAATTCTCGTCCTCTCACGAGTCTATACATACCAAGAACATCAGAATCGGACCTCAATTGCCCCTTCAAATTCCCAATTTACACTCTTCCAAGTCAAGCCCTAATTTCCCAATTTTAGGCTTTAATTTTCATATATTTCATGATTAAACAAGTAAGAATTAACATAGGATCGAGTATTGAGTTCACAAATCTTACCTCCAGGTGTTATATCTTGAATCCCTCTTCAAATCCTCTCAAAAAGCTCCAAAATCGCCCAAAAATGGTGAAAGATAGCCCCAAAATCGCGGACAATGGCTATTTAAACATTCTGCCTACGCATCAAAAACCTTCTTCGCGAACGCGGTCAAAGCCTCGCGTTCATGAAGCACAAAAATCCGTTGCCCAAAATTTCCCCTTACGCGAACACGTAGCACAAAAAGGCTGGGACCCATCTACTCCCACTTACTCTATGCGAACGCAACACAGGCCACGCGAACGCGGAGAATCAAACATCCCAACATCGTGAATGCGACACACGAAACGCGAAGGCAAATTCGTCGCCTTAGAAAAACACCCTTTGCGAACGCGGGTCCCTGACCGCGAATGCGAAGAACAAATTGTCTGCAACACAAAACCAGCAAAATTGCCAAGTCCAAAGTCCAAAATTGATCCGTTTAACCATCCAAAACTTACTCGAGGCCCTCGGGACCTCAACAAAACATCCCATAACCTCATTCAAACTTGTTCCAACTTTCGGAATGCTCAAAGCAACATCAAAACACCAAAATCACATTGGATTCAAGCTTAAGAATTTCAAGAACTTCCAAATTACGCTTTTGGTAAAAAACCCAACCAAATCACGTTCGAATGACCTGAAATTTTGCACACACGTCACAAATGACACAACGGAGCTACTGCAACTTTTGGAATTCCATTCCGACCCCTATATCAAAATCTCACCTATCAACCGGAAAACGCCAAAATCTCAATTTTGCCAATTCAAGCCTAAACCTTCCACTGACTTCCAAAATGCATTCCGATCACACTTCTAAGTCCCAAATCACCTAATGGAGCTAACCAAATCATAAAAATTCCGATCCGAAATCATATACCAACAAGTCAAATCTTGGTCAAACTTTTTAAATTTCCAGCTTTAAACTGAGAACTGTTCTTCCAAATTCATTCCGATTACCCTAAAAACCAAAGCCAACGATTTACATAAGTCATAATCCATCACATGAGGCAAGTCATGCTCGAGAACTGGCGAGCAAAGTGCAAAAGCTCAAAACGACCTGTCGGGTCATTACATCCTCCCCCACTTAAACATACGTTCGTCCGCGAACGTGCCCAAAGTTGTTCCGAAAACCATCAAATCACTGTGTAACCTTGCCATGCACACACCCGGGGGTGATCCCACATCACCCTATCTCACATAGGTCCGATAACACAATGTAACTGAAATTTTCACAATCCAACCTAGTCCATAAACCTTAGAACCACATTTCCACTTCTGAAATTATCCACAAGATCCGAATCCCATATCTATACTCTGAATAAGCCCGAACAAGCAGTAGTAACCCATACCTGCAACCTCAGGTGCAATTACATGATACACCACATAATTCAAACACTTGTAGCGATAACTTCTAATCACAATAGCTGCACACAACAACCGAATATCGATAGAAAACCTCTTATCAACTAAAGTTCCATTCCAACACTTTCATATACTACCAATGATAAATGAAACCTGCAGTAAGCCATAACCATTTCTCAGATCTACCATTCATGAAGCCACTTCTCTTTTTGGCAAAGACCATGGCAAATTTCTGAGCCGAACCTCGATATTATCCTTCCAACATGCTGAAATCGAATCCATTCGTATTCATTAATGATCCCAATGATCTCATCTAATCCAACACACTACTTTGGTGACATGACATATCAATACAGGCTAATGCCTCAACTTGTGAAATCCACGCACCAATAAGCAACAATCTGAATATACTCAAATCATGAAAATGACTCAAACAAAAGAGCTGTACCACAAGCTCACTAGTACCACCACAACACAAGGCTGAGAACCCGTCTCACATCATAGAAACAGATCACACGAATCTAAACCGCAAGGTCATACCTCCACATAACTTCGCTGCAATGCGCGACCCTATCCAGACACTGGTCCACATGAAACACCTCAAGTCACTCTGCTCGAAATTGACGACCACACGCAATTAATGTCTAGAAACAAAGCAAATCATCATACCCACGGTGAAGCAAATACATAACACCACACAAACCCGAAAGGACATAACCGATACGCCATCCACCGAGCAATACCCAGTACTCTTCTCGCTCGACTTCCACTATGAACCCCCATTGGAACTGCACCATCTGTGCCTATAACCAACAAATCATAACGTCTCGCAACACAAAAAAGTAATCCATAGATCACCTCAGAACACTAATAGCTCAATAATAACAGAATCAACACATCCCTCACCAATAGCGACTCGAAGTCAACAAAGCCGTCTCGATCCAGAACACACTACCAATGAACCCCTTATCAAGGAGTTCCAGAAGCTCCTCCTTCAACTCCTCTCACTCTGTCGGTTCCATACGATACGGTGCCCATCACCAAATCAATACCGAAATCAACAACTTTGCCCGACGACATGCCCGAGCACAAGAAACACCTCCGAAATGTCCCTCACCACCGGAACTGAATAAATGGTAGGAGTCTCTACACTGACATCTATCACGAAACCCAAGTAAGAAAGACGGTCCTTCCCAGCCATCCGCTGGATCTTCGAAATATAAACCACTCCACTAGAACATAATCCGTCAAACCTCGCTACTCTGTCCGTGGCATTCCCGACATAGCCAACATCGTCGCCTTAGCACAATAGTCCAGAATAACACGACACGGAGACAATCAGTCTATACCCAATGTCACATCCAAAATCTAACATACCAAGCAACAAAAGATCCATTGGGTCTCCAAACCCTAATAGTCACTAAACAGTGGCGATACACACGACCCACAACCACAACATAGCCTGAACACGAGAACTCCCAGTCTCTAACTCCATATAGCCCACGAATCACCATACCTGATCCTACTTCTACCATCCGAATACATGCCACACCTCTAATACCCAATCATTCCATGAGAGATACTCTAAAATTCTTCTGTGCCACCAAGCAAACTCGAATATCAGCAGTTGATCTAACAAGAGAGTGCTACAATACTATCGAAGTACCATCAACTTAATCACATTGCCTTTTTCTGAAACATATACCCTCGTCAAATCACCCCAATTAGCATTACCATTTCCTTAATCATCTGAAGATCATTTCCCAAATCATCTGAAGCTCATTTCTCTAATTATCTGAAACTGCCCGTGCTGCCTAAGAATTGTGACCTTCCTTTCAGAACTGATCCGTAACCTTACACATGCATATCTAAGTCTTGCACAACATACCGCATATACCATGCCGTC